GGCACGGGTGTTCGCGATGCAGAACAGGCGTACCAGCGTGTACATTAAATCATTGCTCATCCATCAAAGGAGGCGAGAGTCAGCGGACAATGTACTATAGGCGCAAGATTCTAATGACGCGATGGCGGCAAAATTCTCCCCAGAGGCGTTAACAGTTACTGTTTTCAGGAGGAGGTTTAGCTTTCATCAAGAGCTTTCATATCCACCCAACCTGTTACCAATTAACCGTGCGTTGATTAACGAGTACCAGTTATACAAGGAGGTTCTAGAATTTTGGAGAAATAGAAGATTACCGAAACCAAGAAGGATAGTAAGCATGTTAGCCAATAGTATTGCATATTACGTACACGTAGCATTAGAACTGGATGTAAGTTCTCTAAACCAGGATTCTAACGCTAAACAAAGATCACTCTTGACCTTGCCGCTTAGTGCTCAGGTCTATTGAGGAAGCGGTGCTTGTCACCTTGAAAGTGGATCACGGCCTCCTTACCGTCAGGGCCATTTGAAGAACGACTCTACCAGGGCGTCAGAGGTGGCTATACTAAGGAAGCTACCCAGTAAATACGTCGTGCTCGCAGATATAACATCTGTGGAGTATCATACATTTTTGCTCGATGGTCCCCTCCTCTGTTGGCTAAAAGGTACGAAGGTTTGGACTTCCGCGCAAGAAAAAAACCCACGCAGGGACCTAGGAGGTGCTTGCCAGCTCACTACAGCTAGCCTAATACGGAGTATCTGTCTTTCGATGAGGTGAGGCTCGAAGGTCACAGAACAAAAAATATTACTGGTTAAATTGAGTGAGTCCATACTAAAGAAATCAGACAACAAGCCGATTCGACGTTGGAATCCAGCAAATAAGTAAGTATAGGTGCATAATACGGTAGAACTAGTATCATAATAGATACCAGCGATTTTGCATAACGAGTGGACAAGAAGTAATGGATGGACATGAAGCAATAGGTGGTCATAAATCACATTTATGAAAAATAAACGCACATATTATCAATCAATTTGCGGTTTTCCGCAGACCATGTACAACACTGTCAATACTACCACCTTGTTCCTTGCGTTTCATGTCTTCATGCAGCATCCGAGACGTCACGAGCTATCAAGATGACGAGTCCGACCTACAATTCAAAGCTGTGATGAGAAACGCGCACAACTCATTGAGACTTCCAAGAAGCAAGATAACCAAGTCATCTTCAGAAACAGGGACGCCAATCGTATCAGATTACCTGCCGAATTTTTATCGCGTTGATAGCGTGAGCACACCTTCACCTTAAATCGGTTAGGTTGTGAAGAATCAAAGACTAAAAAGAGCTTATTTGTCAAGTTTTCCTCTCGAAATGACCTCTCAGCCACGACCATACATCCTACGTGTCCAAGGCCGCGCGACCCAGCAGTCCTCCATCGCAAGACAGATGATAGACAGCCATTTACGAGACTAACGCTGAAGGTTTGACTGGTCCAGCGCGCTACTCAGCTGCTTGACCTTGATCTACCCGCTCGCAACCTCCCATAGGTCGCACTTCTTAAACACCATCCGCATCTTAACTTCCACGAAAGTTTGTCTCGTCGAAGTTGTGGATTAAGGTGACGGCAAAGACAAATTTGGAGGAGGGTTCAAAGTAAGAAGAGTCTACGAGGCTTGGACTCATCACCTGAAAAAGGTTGCTTGAGCAGTAGATAGCAAAATGTAAAGTAAATTTATTTAGGTCCTTAGTACGTAATCTATAAGCCACTCTGACCTATTGGTAGTTTTGAATCTGTTTCTTCTTCAAGGCTCGCTTACTGATTTCGACAGCATGCCACCCCAATTTGAATCATGCGATCAGGCAAGATGCGACCATGGGATGTGCTGTCACCATATACAGAAACATATGATGCAACATCATTCGCTACCCGTGATAATCGGTAGTAACTCGTTTACGTCAGGTAGTCGAGACGCTTTCATGGCAACACTTTCATAGCTGGGTAGAGAGCGAAATGAATGAGACATTCTTCACGAGTGAACATCCGCGTCTCACGAAGCATTTTGTGCGAACCATTGATTCATTGGCACCTGAATAATCGTTGACAAAATGCAAAGTAAATATATAAGGGTCCATAGCTCATAAATTGTGAGCTACTCTATGTCTACCATGTGTTTCTTGAATATTCTATAAGACTCACTTTGTAAAAACTCTGCTATTTAGAGCGTGCAACGTCGTCAGCCCATCCGAACTTGAAACTTGCAATCAGCCGAGACGCTAATCCGCGTATACAATAACCGGATATGCATTCTCTGAGTGTGCAGACACAATTTACCCATATATCGGTGCCTACCAAAAGGTCAAAATGCTTTCTTGAGAACGCAAATAGGTGCAGAACGTAAGCATTTTTGGCTAAACTGGCCATTTCTCCGAGACACTGCTTTTGACTTCCAAAACCGCACCTAATTATGATAATCTTAACAACTCCACAAATGTAAAGAATGTTTTCATCAATTTCAAATTGGAGCATGACTTGTCTTAGAGGCGGAAAACAAGCCATTCGCGTACTCAAAGCAACTTCCTGTAAAAGTTGTGATTGGAACCTTTTAAGAACAACACCTTGTTTAGCACACTATCGTTAATTGCAAAAGCAATCTCAAAGCATAGCAAAGCAGATAGTTCTCAGATCCTCCCTTCGTTCACACGTTGCGACTCAATTGAGATACTTACATCATAGAAATTTTTGCAGATTTCATACCGAATTTTTACACGGTAATTTATTTTAGCCATTCAAATCTGATAGCAACTATCTGATCCATCTCAATTGATGTCCCGGGAAACAGCGCTTGTAATGGCACACGCAAATGTCCAAGCAGTAAAAATCATTGCAAAGAGACGCTCTTAGGACGTCACTACCAAAATAAATTGTGGTGCTAATAAAACAGTGGACTGCTATGGTGTTGCATACTAGAGTAATCATGATTGCCCGGTAAAAAGAATTCATGGACTTCATGTAGCGATTTTTGTGGTGAATCATCATGGGAACCACCCACCCATCCTTTTGTTCACAGTTTGTTGAGAAGTGCACAATCGGTTCACACTCATATCAACGGTTATGGGTTGAAGACGACTAGTGACGAGACGTTCGATGTGATATCGTCGAGTGTGGGTATTATAGAATGACTGAAAGCGAAGCTTTTTAAACGTGAAGAATAACGGTTTGAGATACCAAGAAGGAACGAGTGGTTAGGGCGTCGTTAGCTCAAAGAAAGATAGAGTTGAATTGATAATTGATTTTTGCATAATTGTCTACTTTTCCTTCGTATGAAGGCAAAAGGAAATTATAAAAAAGCTGCATTACCATGTGAATGGCTACAAATGTCGACTGTGCGATGAATTATACGATGCTTGGTGAGATGGCACCACTGCATGCATATGGATGACGCTTCAAGGATTACAGTAAGGGCAACAGTTACTGTCATCGTTTGCATATTGATTACAGACATAAAGATAGTTGTTCATTGGTCTAGATAAGTCCGAAAATAATCGCTAAAGTAGAGGCGGCCTCAGACTAGCAAATCAAAACCTTTGTTAATATATTTACTTTAATTTTTGCCTTCTTCTCTCAGTCGCAAGCAAGCCTCGCTTCAAACACCTTCACCGCCATTACTACCAGACAAAGTCTTTTCTGAGTGATGATAACAACTACCATTGGGAGTGCAACATGGATGGTCTTCGCAAGATGAGGGCTACTGGAGCACATTACGGCCGCAGAAGAGGAGAGCAAACACACGGAGACGTGGACGCCGAGACGTCGGGCATCATTGTCCAGGGCGTCAAAACTCAGCATCAGAACAAGATTTGATTAGCAACACGTTCCGTGAAGGGTTGGAAAATACTTCGCTATTTCTACAGCCTTAACACTCTGCACAATCGTGTCAGGATGACACGTCGCCTCCATGAGCTTGATATGAAGAGTAACATTCGCATGGCCAAAACCCTAGACGCATTTGACGAACTGGTCGTGGGACTTCAGATGTCGGCAGGGCCAGTGGATGAGTCAAGACAGCTGGTGGTACTTTTGAGCAGCTGCCATCAGAGTGTGAGTTGATTTATCTCATTGTAAACAACACTTCGACAAACCACGCTGATCGAGGTGAAAGAGAAGCTGTACATGTCGGAGAAGTAACGAAGACCTGAGATAGCGTATGATACTCCACATATGTTACATCTGCGAGTATGACTCATTTTCTAGGTAGCTTCCATAGATGGGGAGAATTTCACCGCCATCGCGTCAATAAAATCTTGCGCCTATATATAGTACATTGTCCGCTGACTCTCGCCTCCTTTGATAGGAGAGCAATGATTTAATGTACACGCTGGTACGCCTGTTCTGCATCGCGAACACCCGTGCCGTATGTCGCTTAAACACATTCCTTGTCGGGAATGTCTCTTCTTTCCTTAACACCATTGTCGCACGTGGTACTATTTTGATGCCGTTAGCGCGACGCACTGTTGCTCCGTCTGACGCATAGTTAAATTCGTCAAATTAAATACAGATGCTACCAAGCAACGGGGTTGTCGTGCACATTTTGCAGAGGGAGCTGTGATTAAGGATTCTGCGTCAACAACGGACAAAGGAAGGATTCTGCGTAAACAATGGACAAAGGATGGGTTCGAATTAAGCATAAGTAAGAGCCTTTACAATGACGAAA